ACTGCCACCCTTGGTCACCTTCTGTGAGGTGGCATTGTGCAAGTAAGAGCTGTAAAGCCTGAATTTCTTCTACCTGTGAAGGTTTTTTTTCGTCACTTTTGTGGTTCTTTGCTGATCTGAAGCGTTGGAGTCACTCACCAACAGCTCTCTTCGTGCAGGGCCCAGGGAAGAACTCATGAAGTGTCTTATTCTCTCTCACCTGAAGCTGCTCATTCAGCATTATCAAAGTCACACCTCTGAGAAGCTTCACTTTATCAGGAGTCATTAAATCTGTATGTATTTGTAACTGTTTATCACTTTGATAAAGCTTCTATGCAGCTTGTATAGCCTGTACAAAATCTTTATGCATAATGCTTTCCCATAAGGTATAGCAAGTCTACATTTTGCTTTAATCTGCTTTAAATTGTTCTTTCTAGTGCCTTGAAGGTTTTTGTTTGAGTATTTTATTTTATGGGGTTTTTTTGCTACGTGTTGGAAATTAAGATTTGTGATATTTCAGGATTTGCACTGAAAATCTTAATGTTGATACTGGCCAAAGTTAATACTGCTCAACCACGAGGAAAAAGTGAAAAAGGAGAATATGCAAATACATCAGTGATCTCAGAAGTCACAGATTGATGGCAAAATACAGCTGGAACAGATCAAAAGAATTAATTTAGCTCACCTTCATGCTGCAAGGTAAGACCAACTGTTTCCATAGTATCTCTGACAAGTGTTTGTCCAGGCTGTCCTTCAGGGCATCCAATACTGGAGATTTCACAGCCCCTCCCTCCTACTCCTCTGCAAGAAGTGTGTAAAACAGATTTGTTTGTTTTCACGTGTCCAAATCCCTCTGTACTTCCTGGCTTATCACTCATGGCTCTCGTTCTGCTGGTGAACTGCCCAGGCACGCCAAAGTTTCATTTATTTTTCTTAGAGAATGTCCTGCTTCGCCTGTTTCTTAACCTGTGTTTATATGAACCTTAGAAATTATGGCTCATCCCAGGGAACTTCAACCCTATAGGTTTCATCTCTGCTTCAAATAAACCCACAAAACAACAAAAAAAGTCTTTCTAATAAGGGACTTACAGATAGACACGAAAGAAAATTTAATTTTGTATTAGTTCTAAATGCAGAAATAAGAATTTGAGTTTTGTAGCTGGGTGATGTATCAAGTATTCCACAAAGAGCAATAGAAGAGAAGCTGTAGCACCTAAACCTGGTTAGATTGTGGGATATAAATCTTGTTTGCTGGCCTGTGCCACCCACAGTATTTTTATAAGGGCTACAGCCTTATAGCACTTTTCTTGTCATGAAAACATATCCTTAATGCCAGCTATTCAACCCTCTTTCTAATAAAAATGCACTTTCACCCATGCTTCCTTAATTTCAAAGTTTCAATGTAAAGAGAAGCACTAATGCTCCTGGCCAACCTTTTGCAGACCTAGAGAAAACTTACAAACCTAAAACAACTTTCTGTTAAACTTTCTGTCTGTTTGGTCAGGGAAGTGCTAAAAGAAAAAAATATTTAAATGCTTTTTCTTTTAATGTTCTGGGAAAATGGGTCCAATGTACTTCAAGCTGTGGTTCACTCATAGGCTTCCACAGTTCAGTGAGTGTTTACCAGTTAAAAGAATGTTACAGGGCCTGTAAAAAAACTGTCTGTGGAGAGTTTAGTGCAACAACACGATGATGACATTCATGAGAATAAACACTAACAAACGGTTTTTAAAATCAGAACAAAAAAAAAACCCCTCTCTGTTGTATATTTTGGGTTTGCTCAGAATCGTGGCCTCTCGAGCTGCAAAAGCACAAGTTTTCAGTTTAAAGAAAACTTATCATGGGCTGGATTTTCCCTGGAAGTTGAGTGGAGCCCTGATGTGTTTGAGTGAGGGGTGACAATGGGAAGGGGTGTAGTTGTTAAATGCCTGAGAAGAGACGCCACCTAATTCTTCCAGCCCAGGAGAAAGTGCAGCGGTGTGTTAGCACAGCTGGACTTCACAACATCCCTCAAGGAAAAGAGAGGATTTGTGTGCTGGAAACCTTGAGAAACAGCAGGACTGAGCCTTTTCTGCTTCATCCCCACCCAGTACATCAATAGAAGTTAATATGAGGATTATAGTCTTTTAAATAATCAATTTTTGCACTTTTTTTTTTTTAAGCAACAGCTGGCGATTTAAGCAAAAACCTTCTGTCTTTTGAGTGAGATTTGTGTTTTCCTGCTTTTGTCTAGAACCAGAGGGCTCCTGTGCTGTATTCCATAGTCAACTGGGCCAATTAGTATAGCCCATTATCATGCTTTGATTGTTGTACATCAAGGAACAAGGCAGGGAAGGAAACATATTCTTCAGTCTCTTTGAAGGTGATGTAGTTGGCAAATGATTTTTTAAAGTGCAAATCAAACTCAATTGCACCTACATACATCTGAGTAGTTCCCTGATGCAAGGGACAGATGAATTCACTTACACAGCTGTGGGGTGTTTTTTGCAAGTGAATTATATAAAATGAGTTCTACAGCTACTGACCTGGGATGTCCATTAGAAGCCAGAAAAGTTAGCACTAAAATATAAGTGGATGGATGTTGATAAATCAGCTGTAATCACCTTATTAATAATGTCTGTTAGTGACAGAGAAACAGTCTGATCAGAGGGTCGTTTTAATCCAGAATATTTGTTGGTGTGTTAGTAGAGACTGTGATATTAGAGAAGTTTTACAAAATCTATTAGATTGATTCTTAAAATCCTCCTTTCTATGATGTTTGCTAAAACATTTCAACCCCAATTATGCACCAGCTCTCTTGCAGTGAGTTAGTGATTCCAACTAAAACAAAGGAAGAAAACTGTATTACAGATTGTTTGCCTTCTGCAGTGCAAAGCATTCCTTAAATGATGATTTCTCTGCTTGTGTTTAGGTAGTTAGCAATAAAGATTTTTAACTTCAGCTTATTTTTCATTTCCTGGTAAATGTCAGCTACAGCCTTTGACATAAAGCCATTGATCTTTGGGTTTTGTCAAACCTTTGCCCCACTGCAGAGCAGCCCCTCCCTGGCCCTTTTTTGCTGCTCTCTGCCTAAGCAAGACAGAAAATCCAGGGTCCTTTCAGGGACTGTAAGATGAGAGGGGGGCAGAACTTTCTCCTTCCTTACTCCCAGGGCAGCTTTGCTGGGGGAAACCACCCGGAGGGCTTGGCATGGGCTGCCCAGCCACGGACCTCTGTGCTTTTATTGATGTGGAAGTGCTTTAAATGAGCACTTTTCCATCCTCAGGCTCCTCAGGAGCAATGCCCTGGGATTGATTGTCTTCCCAGAGCTGGGTCAGTGACTCCCTTCCACACACGAGGTGCCCAGTGCTGCCCCTGGGCTGCGCTGGGAGCCCTGGGACTGCTCAGATCAGGTTTCCAGAGGATCAGAGGAATAAATTCAGAACTTGTTTCTGCAAATGATCTCCCAATGTCTGCTTGCAATTTGCTGGTTCCACAGAAAATTTTTGGCAATGAACGTGTTTGCTTGGATTCTCACAATTGTTTTGGTAAGCATATTCTTTCCCCTGACAGGCCCCTCTTGGCAAATATTTCGAATTCCTGTCTTTCTCTTTTTACATTTTAGCTTTTCTCAGGATTTTTAGCTGCAGCTCTCTATTATTTCTAAGGGCAGCTCTACATGTCACTACATTGTCACTACATGATGCAGAATTCCTGGAGTTTATGCAGAATTCCTCTTCTTCCTTCGGGATGTCGAGGAGATTGTGGCTAACAGGAATGAGGGAAGAAGTCTGGAAAAAAAACCCGGAGGGAAATAAGCAAAAGTCAGACTGGTCATCATTAAATGGGAAGCTAAATTTTTGTAGGAACTGAAATTCAAAATTTTCAAAATTATTCTGTCGTAGGTCTTAAGTCAGGATTACAAACAAAATTCATTTTTTATTTCAATACTGAGATTTTGTAATATTAAACTTTGGTTACATTAGAGCATCCAGGCAGCGTGAATGTCTTGGGGTTTCCAAACTTAATTTTTTATCTCTTCAGTCCTTGGAGCCTTGAGTTCCCCTCCACTTACCAGTTGTTTGCAAGGAACTTGTTACCACCAGAGGCTTTGGAAGTTCAGAACACATCTGGGAAGCCAGCTGGGTAAATCAGGGCCACACCTACTGCCAAGTTTGCTGGATTCCAGCTATATAATACCTATATAAAGTGTCAGTGGAAAACTGTTTCATCCTAAAAGTTATAATGAACTCCAGTCAAGAGGTTGCCATCAAGCAGCAGAGGAATAAGAGGCATAATACACTGGAAGAAATGGAGTTGACAAAAGGAATCAGGTGAATAAGGTGAATAAAATATTACTCTAGTTTATTTCACTGAAAATAAAGACCTTGGAGAGAGCTGAAAGAAAGATTTTATCATAGCAGAGCAAAATAAATGAAAAATATCAACTAGATCTAGCTGCTATTTTTCTTTTACATATAAAATGCTGATTATTATGTGTGATATAGTTCAGAGCCTAATTGGGAGATTCACAAAAATACTTATACGTAATTATTTTTATGTAAAAAAGTGAAATAGCAACTGCTTTAAGAAGTATTTTCCTAGAGGTTTGTTTTTACTGGTTCTGTTGTGCAACTTTGAGCAAATCAGTGAAATGGTAAGTGCCTCAGTTTCCCCTGCTAGACACAGGCATGGTACAATCAGTGCCTCAGAGTGCTGTGTGATTTAAATCAGTGGTTTTTTTAGAGGTTATGCTTCTTCAGGCTGAACTACAATCTGTTATTTCAGTAAACAGATCTCAGCTTTCCTTCAGAAATTTCTGTTTTTCCCGAGCGTTCGAATTGTGAACACTCGTCCTGGCTTTGATTCCTCTGCCAGTGTGCAGATTGCCACGAGCAGCAATCTCTCTCTTTTTATCTGTTTGCTGAAGCACATGGACTCGTTTCCACTTGTTCCTGGCTGGCTGGTGTTAGGACCCAGAGAAGAGACGGCAGCAACGTGATATAAATAGAGAACCAGAATGGGACAAAGTTTGAGGAGAAAGCATGACATCACTCAGCCTTGCTCTCCACCCAAAAAGATCTGGGATGGAGGTGCAAACGTGAGCTGGCCAAGAGGGGAGTTTGCAGCTCTTTTCAGCTCAGTTTCTGAGGGGACAGGGAGAGTTTTCCGCCCGATGTGCTACAAGGAAGTGCATTTTCCTCTGAGCAAAACGACGACCGGCTTCGGGTCTCTGACAGCGTGAAAGTAACTGCAAGGAAAAGGCAACCGTAGGAAGAAAGTTGAAAACAAGATCTTTTCTTTTTTGGCACAGTTCGTGACAGAAATATTTGACTCCTTTCCACGGAACGGCACAACTTTTGGATTTGATGCACATTTCTTTTAATTTTCCTCCGATCATGGGGATTTATTTGGAGTTAAATGAAGATATCGAAGTGTGAAGCAGGAAAATACCACTTAGAGGGTCTGGAAGGATATTTTGCCATCGCTGAAGGAACAGACTTTTTGAACCTGCGTGGAAAATGACCTTTTTAATACCAAAAACAGCAAAGGAAAACTTATGATTGAAATCTCACAGGAGTTTGATTTCAGTTGTACTTTTAACCTGAAATAGACCATGGAAAGTTTATTATCCCTGCTCTGTTGTCATTATTCTCTGCTGATTTTATTGCAGCAAAAATACCAGGTAACGTTCTGAATATGGTCAGTATTGAGATATACTTGGATTCCTCTTAGCAAGTTTTGCCTCACTATGTCTCATTATGTAATATTTTATGTGCAGGTGTATGGAAACTATTCCCAGCTCCCCAAACACCCAGGTAAGGAATGCTCTATTTACATTTTATGACAATGTGCTTAAATATTAATTTGTTTTTTTACTTTGTGTTTCTTATTCTCTTAGTACCTCCAAAGAAACTGTGATCCTACGTTTGCATGTCAGCTCTGTATTAAAAATGTAATAGTCTAAAGTATCAGACTGTCCCAGTCATCTTAAATTCAGTAACCTACCTACTGAATATTCTGCATAGAAATATATTTGCAGAAAAATAGCTTGTATTTGCTATGTGGAAAAATCCTATATACACTTATTAATTTTTTGAGTGTGTTTCTCTGAGTCAGACCTCCACACAGACTATTTCCCTTTTTTTTTCTTCAATGTTCAGCATTTTCAATTGGATGATTTACTGTTAGATATGTCAGCTTGTATACTTTGCAGTACTTTGGCATGGCTTCAAGTCATCTACCCTCCTCCCAGCCTCCAAGCTTCAGTTTAAATCAGTCACAGGGCGTATTGAGGATCCCTCATCTGTTTTCAATGTAGAAAAAACTTATTCGAGGCTTATTCGGGGTCTGTGTGTGTAACTGCAGAATTCCTCTGTTTGTATAAATAGTTTAACCTCAAGCCTCATGGTGGTGTACAAGCACAATTTTACTGCTTTACCAATTCATGTATTGCTTTGTGCTTTGTAGTTTTAACCACATGTAATTATTTTCAAGTCCAACACGGAGATCCGTGGAAGTGCCGTGTTGGCTGCCAGTGCAGCAGCTTCAGCCTGATTAGTTTCTTTTGTCCCACCTTTGCTCAAAAACAAGAAATACAACCCCATTCCCTGTGGGTGAGCATCACTGGCTTCTGGCTGGTGCAACAACAGGGGGGAAAAAGCCTCCTGCAATGAGGGGGGCAAGTTCCCCAGCCCTGGTTTGGGAGCACAGTGTGTGTGTGAAGCACAGCTGCAAGAGATGCTTTCTGGATTTGAACCAGGCTGCACAAAAAGTCCTGTGATTTTGTTCTAATCAGTGTAGTTACCTATGGAAAGGATATTGCATTCAAAGCAACAGGTATTTGTTTCCAGAGGTCTTCTGGTTGAAAGTGGGGTAACAGCACAGTTTTGTGGAGTCCAGAACTGGGAGCTGGGAGAGCCACCAATGTGCAGCGTGGCTCTGAGCAATTTTATTTGCTATATATCTGTTTCCCTTCCCTTTTTTCTTTTTTTTTGGTCAATTTTCACAGCTTTTAAATGTGAGCTCTCTAGAATATTGCTTCTTCTTATGAGTTTGATGCCAGCCATGGCAATGCCTTTGTTGTGATGCTTCTGCTACTAAAATGCTTGTGCCGTGTTGTGACACATTTTTTGGCATTAGATAATTTTCTCCCAGGAGCTTCCTTTCCTCTTTTTCTAATTATTTTTCTTCTACTACCTCTCTTAAATCCTTTTTTGTCCCCTAATACAAAAAAGGGAGATGTTAATGGGAGCAAGAGATGTTTGCATACAAGCACACTGTGAACCAGCAGGTATGTTCTGTGCTCTGCAAATGGAGCTGGGAGTTTGATGAAAGTCAAGGTATGTTAGCTCAGGTAGCCTGTGTGGATGCTCTTACTGCCACAGAAATTTATACTTTTCATTTCTTTTGCAGCAGCCAGAATATGTTCTTTGAAGATAGAAATGCAAAAGGTCTTGTTCCTATATCCCATTTTCTCAGCCTGCTTTGCCATGCTCAGCTTAGTCGAGTTGGGGTTGCTTGGAATTTCAGATTGGATTTTGTATGTGCTTATTCTGTGTCACTATTCTCTTATGCTGGCAGCACCTTTGTCCTTTCATTAACAGTTTTGCTTTTTTCTTCCTAATAGTCAAAGGAAATGTGTAACCATAGAGCCTTATTGATTCCCCTAAAGATATCCCCATCTTATCTACTTCTACTCCTGCTCCCTCTCTGTGGGAAAACCTCTGTGACAACTGCAAACATTTAGTTAGGTGGGCTAATAATAGATCCTGGTCAATTATGAATCTTTTGTTAGATATCTTTGGTAGAGTTGAGTTTGGAAGCAAGTCTGAGTAGTTCGTGTATCCTCACAAGATGCAGAATTTCTTTTAGTTCTGTTTCCTCAGATCTGCAATTCCTTGCTGTGATGTTCAGCAATTCTATCAACTTTGGATGCATAATATAAAAATAAATCCTAGGATCCCACCTGTGTCACACTTCAGACACTAAACCATGAGGGTGGAGGCCATCAAACTGTTCTCCATTGGGTGCATTTGGCCGTTTAAGGATGCAAATAAAATTTTTGCACCTTCATATCTGTGATAAAGAAATTCTGTTTGTGTCCAGGACATTAAAATGATAGAAGAATTATCAAATAGGCAAGCTGGTTTGATCTCAAGAGTGAAGAAAGGTGTGGGATAGTCTGCAAATATCAAAGGACACTGCCTGTGACCTGTTTTAATTTGCACATCAGGTGTGGGAAGCTTTTTCTGTGGTGTATGACAGCTGAAGTGGGTTTTAACAAATTTATCTCTGTCAGCTTCACACCTCAAGTTCTTGAAAGATTGCTTGGGACTGAAAAATGTTTGTAGGTCAGAGAATTACAGATATGGTGTAATATAAATATTTGCTCTCTCTGTCCCTCTCATTCATTGTGTTTCCCCCCCCTGCACCCCCCAAGAAAAGATTAACTCAAAGCAGTTGGGTGATGTGGCATCATGGTGAACAAAACACATCATTCTCATTTGCATTCACAGTAACATTTCTGTGTATCTGTATCAGCCTTCTAAAACTTTCTCAGATATGGGAGATTATGGATTTATTTCAGCACAGCTGGTTGAACTGATTGTTTCGAGAATAAAGGTTTTCTTGCAGCTAACAAGGTAACAAGAAATTACAACTCATATTTTCCTCCATTATTAGGGCTTTACTCTTAAAATAGAACTGTTATCTTAACAAAAAATTTGGTTGTTTTGGGCAGCCAGCTTCTGACTAAGTTTAAGTCATCACATCTCCTAAAATCTGTTCAACCTCTGGTCAGCCAGACTGTGCAGATAAAAGTGCCAGTGGGAACCATCAGATGTTTTGCCTTTGTCACCTTGTCCACCTGTTGCTAAGGAGGACATTCAGGAAAACAAAATGTTCTCATCAGCCACAAAGAGCTGTTCTGGTTTTGGTGCAGTGGGGAAGGTTCTGAAGGAATAGCTGATGATGCCACGTGGGGAGGAGTGAGGGCTCTTCCATATGGTGCTTAATATTCTGGAAGCTTTTCTCTCAAGGAAAATCAAATTCCTTCTGTTAAAGGGAGTTCTGCTGTGCTGCTGCTGAGGTGAGAGCTGGCTGGAGGCATCAGGAAGGCTGGACTCTGCTGTAATGGTTGTGCAGACACCTGTGCTCTCATCTGTGGTCCTGCTCCTTCCTGGTGTCTCCCCACAGACAACCAAGGGTGAAAAAGCTCTTGGATTAATACAAACTCAAGGTGTTGCTCTGGTTTTCCAGTGGATTTTGATGAGGGGATAAGATGCCTGGGAACTCTGTAGCATCTTCTCCTACTCCCTGGAGCTGCAGAGAGCTGAGTTACCTCTGGAGGAGGCAGGAGCAGGAGTAGTTTGTTATAGAGACCAAACAGTGCTTTGTACTACCCACCATGTGCTTGAAATCTCAGTAAAATCTAGAAATTACTCTTGGCTGACTCCTCAGCTGTTCCTTCACTGAATGCTGCTGGATACCAGCAGAGATTTAGTCAGAGATTGTTGCCCATTTTAAGTACAACCAAAATAAAAATCGGTTGAGTTTTAACAGCAGGTTTTCTGCAGTGGTTAATCAGACGGCTTTTATCTACTCCACTGTTTTGATTTATGATCTCACTTATGTACCACACTGGGTTCACAGAAAATATTTTCATTTACTTAACCAATTGACCTCCTTTATTGTTATTTTTGGTTGCACTCCTTGTTGGTCTTGTCTTTAACAATCTTCTCAACTGTGTTTCTTGCAAGGGTTCAAAGTTCTCGCATCAGCTTCCCATTACTGGCCACTGGAAGATGTGGATGGAATTCATGAGTTTCGGGATGCGAATGGAGGTAGACAAAGGATTCACTGACAATGGCAATAGCATAAGTATTTGTGGCAGTCTGTAAGTAAAAGAGGAGCAGGAGAAAAGAAAGGGTTCAGCTTTTGTGCCACAGCAGCTGAGCTTTTTTTTTTTTCTCAGTTAGTGTTTTTGCAGTGCTCTGATGTCCAAACGATATCATATTTGTGAACTGATTTTTATAGAGTATTCTCAGAGGTTTTATGGGCTGTCTGTGCATTGTTAAGGTTATAAAGAGAAAAGGTTTATGATCCAAAGAGTCATTGAAATCACATTGTTATTAGTTGGTTTGGTACATGCATTGCATGCACTAATACATTCAGTGACTGAGATCTTGGGCTATGCCAGCAGTGCAGGTGTCTCCTTTTTGATTTTGGAAGGAGTTAAATGCCCAAGTTTCTCATGCACATTTAAAAATTGCATGTAGAATCTATAGAAAGAGAAGTGGATACTTCTTACTCATTTTTATCTGCTTTTGGGTATTTCCTTATAAACAGTATTGCAGCGTTAGTTCATATCAATTCAGGGTTTTTTCCAATAAGGCAAAATCAAGAGAGATTTTAAGGCAAAACCCACTGATTTAAAGAGTCTGTTGTGAGGATTGCAGGATCCCAGAGGGAATGGTATTAGAGGGCAGTCTGGTTGGATTCTCTGGATCTGACGTTTCACATCAGGACCGAAAAGGGGGTGTGGGGCTTTCCAGGGATGTGGAGGTGATGTCATTAACGGGGCTCCAGCAGAACCACCGTGTCCCAGGGCAGAACCACGGCCTTGAGGGGCCATTCCTTTTGGATGAAACACTCAGCTCTGCTCTGCCTCCTTCCGAGACTCAAAGGTCCCTCAGGAATTTTCACAGGAACTGTTTCCTCTCCTCTGACGCTTCAGCCACTTCCAAGTAGTGCTGGTGTGGATTCCCCAGGATTCCTCACTGCAGGGCTGCCCACCCTGGCAGCTGAGCTGAGCTGTTTTGTGCCAGTGCAAGGAAGGGGCTGTTGTGACTTCAATATCTTTATCCAGAAAGAACCACTGCGGAAGATTAAATCAGGAGTTAGAGACCGTTACAACCTTAAATGAAAAATGTTACCAGAAGTGCAAAGTTATTGCTATTTATTACACAAAAATGGCAATATCAATCTCTGGTCCTAAGTCTGAAAAAGATCCATAAATATCTAAACCCTTTCAATGCAGAGGTGTTCAAGTATTTTAAGCTTAAACTTTGACCTGTTTTTCCACAAAATTTCTGAAAGGAATGGAATTGGCTGACCAGAAATATATCTGGGCAATATTCTGCTTCCATTGGGAGCTGATGGCAGCATTCCTATTGACTTCAATAGAATAATAATTTGGATTACAAAAAGTTACCATGTGAGTTCTCTAACAGTGTGTTAAAGTCATTTTCTGACGCTGGACTTCACGTAGTTTCAAAAAGGTAAAGTGTTGCACATCTAGCACTGGTTTGGCAATCATGTTACAACAAAGTCGTTTGGAAAGTGCTTGAAAATGATAAATATAAAATAGAGCTCTTGGAAAAATGACCATTAATGTCAGACTGTTTTTCAAGTTTCGTTAAATTACATTATTTCAGCAAAATTCAGAAATCTTTTTAGTAGTATCTTGGCAGAGACAAAGCAGAACAGATGAACTTCCTGATCCTACAAACCTTCACTTACAGGAATGGGACTGGCCCACAAGAGCGATCTCTTTTGACTCCTATTATGACATGGTGTTAAAAAACTTCATAAATGAGCCAGCTGCATGACTCTGCTGAAGAGATCTGGAGGACTTTGTCATGCTGTTATTTGCAGAGGGTGCCAGGAGCTGAGTCTTTATCTCTGCAGAGCAACTCCAACAATGCTGATTCTTCCCTTAATTTTGTAGTGGATAGCTCAAATTATTCTCAGCTGCTCATATTCTGTCTGATAAGACACAGATATCTCCACTGCCTCCAGCAGAACTTTTATGTATCTGCCTGATATTTGACTTTGATATGCAAGAAAAGTTTTCTTTATTGTTGTAATCTACTGCAGGTGACAATTTGCTTGTTTTTGATACCATTCTGATGACACAACTCTTCTGTTTATTGCTGGAGTCTTTCTTGTTTTTCCACTCGTCATATCATGCAATTATTTTCATTCCATGTTTCTCCTCTTGAATCCTTGAAGCATCATAATCTGTCCGTCATGTTAATCCATTTTATTTGTTGAAGTCATTGTGCACGAAGCCAGATTTATATCTCTCAATGCATTTGTGTTGTGGGAGCGTGTCAGCAAATTAATTTTTGGTTATCTCAGCAGTGGAAGCAATTGAAGGGAAACAATCGACTCAAAATATAGCAAATAAAAAAAAAAAAGTGGCCGTATTCAGGTTTTCCATCTGACCCCTTGTTTTCCATGCATTTTTATCTTGAGGGTTTTGTGTATATTTTTCTTTTTCTTTTTTTTTTCTTTTTTAAGAGTGTTTGTCTTTTTGTTCTCTGAGCTCAGAGGGTCTAAATCCGAAATCAATGTCTCTCCCTTTACCTTCATGGGTTTTCCATCAAGCTTTATTTGCTTGCCTAGGGTAAAAAATTACAGTGTGCCAGATACTGTTAAATTGTCAACATCAGAAAAAAAATTAGAGAATAAAATTTTATTGTCAGATATAAAAAAGTTGGGGCTTTTCTTATGATTAGATGGAATTTTTTATATTTTATTTTGTGTCCATCTCCTCTTGTCTGTTCACTGGGTACAAATAAGGAGAGTCTGGCACTATTTTTACATCTCCCATAGAGTGTTTTCACACATTGAGAAGATCCCTGAACCCTCAGATCTCCAGGTTGAGCAGTTCCCAACATTCTCAGCCTTCCACTGGACTCGCTCCAGTATGTCCATGTCTTACACTGGGGAGCCCACAACTGGACATGGGATAGAATTGCCCATAACTTTTGCACCAGTATAATGATTTTTATTATGCATGCAGAGTTCCTCACCAGCAGGAATATATTTCAGAGCCCTTCATCTGCCTTTGGATTTTTTATATATTTTTTCTTCTCAGTAACTGTGGAGAAAATATTGTTTTAGTGACACTGGATTTGCTTCACTCGTGCAGGTCCCAGGGAGAAGTTGTGGGGTCATTTTAAAGGCCACTGCTCAACATCTGTGCTTTGTGCTGAGTTGAGAGATATGAACTGGTCAATTCATTACTGATTGTGTTGATTCATTGTTTTGCTTATTTGCTTGTTTTCTTTTGTTGTTCCACCCAGCTCTAAGAATCCACAACTTCACTGTGCTTCCTTCCCATAACTCTACCTTTGTATATACCAATGACTCTGCCTACTCTAACTTCTCTGCAACTGTAGGTGAGGATTTACATTTTTTTTGTTTTTGTTCTGCATTTGTCAAGCTTGGATGGTTCTTGTAACGTTGGATTCAAAATTAACTGAGTTTTGGTTCAAGTGGTTGTGTGGTTTATGCTCACACTGTCACACGTGCTTGGAAAAGCACTCCTGCAATGTTACCAGGGTTGCTCCCAATTATTAGGAGAGGAGGATGTGCCCCAATCATCCTCCAGAACCTAAAAAAATTTCTGTTAGTCTTATTAAAAACAAGATGATGTTCTGGAGGAACATGTAAGAATAAATAGGTTGATTTTTTTTTCTTGTTTTTCAAGGCTAAAACTCCATTTTTAATTGTTTCATAGTATTTTTGTAAAGGACACGTTTTAGAAAGACAGATGCAAACAAATCTGCAAAGCCTGGAAGTAAGATCTTGTCAACCACGACAACTTTGATTCACATGATGCTTAAAAAAAAACCAGGGAAGCAAAAATCTGCATATATATGTCCATTTATTGATTGTATTTTTCTTTTAACAACAACACACTGGGAGATAAAAGGAAGAACAGAAAATCACAACTCATCAGGCAGAAGCCTGACAGACTGGAAACTAGTTACATTTACAGCAGTATGATATTAAAGTCACTTAATTTAAGTCACTAACATTTATACTGTGTGGGTGCAATTGAAATATGGCCTCTTGTCCACTTTATGCTTAGGTATTAACTCCCATCAAGTTGTTGGAAAATCTGACCTAAGCAGAAGGATGGAAGTGGTGAAACTGTCATTTGGGCTGCTCAGATACTGAGATTTTTATATTGGAATACTAAACCCACTATTTTTTTACTCTCTAACAGTAAAAGTATGCTGGCAAATGTGAACTCTATTAATAATGAACTTCACATGACCCTAATTCCTTTCAGTCCTTTCTTATCTGCTTTATAGACCATTTGCATAGCTCTCACATATTTTTATTATGTTCAATATGAACATTATAAAGGGTGACATCAGTGGCAAAGGAGATGCTATGGAAACAGAAATGCATTACCTTATGGGATTTATTCTGGCTGGATTAACTTCTAATTCAAGGGCCTCAGGAAGAACTTAGAAATGCTTGCTTTGCTCCATAGTACACTCTCGCAGTTTTAAAAGAAACTAAATTTTATCTATCAATAAGAGGCAGGACTTGGTGATTTCTTCCTCAAATGAAGGGGGAGATACCCGAAAACTGATAATTAAATACTGAAATAAGAAAATATTTCAACCTGCATTCAGTGAGGGCTCTGCCAGGCTGCTGCTGTGTCCTTGAGGGGTGTTATCCTGCACTGGCACTGCTGCCCTCCTGCCTGGAGGTTGTCTGGAGTTTGGAAAAGAGATGTTGCTTTGCCCATGTCCCTGTTGCATAAAGGAAGGCACAGGCTGGGAGCAGTGACAGCAGAATTGATGGTTGTCACTCGAGATAGATGGTCTGAGCAGGCCATGGTTTGTTCTCTGCAAAATCCTTTTGGGTGAGGTGGATGTACAGGGATAAATACCCAGAGAAGGCCCTCACATCCCACCCTTCACGTGTTTTAGACCATTTGTGTGCCTCCCTCATCTCCTCTCAGGATCTCATGAGATTCCCAAATGCCAGGCAGCTCCTGGCTGGCAATTCCTGCACCTCGGAGCAGGGAAATGTGTTCTCACTGCTGGAGTTCCCTGGGAGCAGCTCTGCCCCTCACACCTTTCCAGAAGAAATTATAAAAGAAAGGGTCTTAAAGCCAAGGTTCTGAACATTCCCAATCCTTGCAGGAATGCCATCCCAAAGAGTGGGATGAAATGAAACAGTGAACACGAAATCCCACATGGAACAATTACATCCTGTCTGCTCAGAAATAGACAATTGAATATTCTGTGCTCTGTGGGATTTGGGAATTTTGACACAGCAGAATGTTTTAGTTGTGATTTCTCTTTGTCTTCGTTCCTCAAACCAGTCCCTCTTTTTATCCTGGGACAACAGAGATGAACTTCTCATCATTATCTGTAGCTGCACTCTCAGATCTTAGTGAGGTTTCCTGTAGTAAATAAGTTTTTTAGTCTTAATAAGGTTCATCTGGTAGGAGATGAATCACTAGTGATTTTCTTTAGGAGGGAAATAAGAAAATCACAAGAAAATGAGCCATGATCCACGTTAGACAAAGAAACGGCCTTTCCAAATGACAAGGGTGCCACACCAAAGGATGTCTGAAAAGGAGATATATTTTTGTCTTTTTAATGTAGCTTCTCAAGTTAATTTAATTGAATTACTTTTTTAATAAAAAATGGGTTTTGATCACAAACTTTTCTTTTCTAAAAATGGAAAAAAAAAAAAGAAACCTTATTCTGTGCCAGTTTTGATTAATTAAAGAATTTCTTCACTAACTCAGCCAAACAGTAAGACACCTCTAGGATGTGTCTGGTATTCAGAACTCTAGAAAGCATAAGGTTTATTCAGATTACTTTAAAATAATAATTTTGGGGTGTATAGGTTCTGTTAAACAGTCTTAGTTAATTACAGAGTTGAGTGACAGATATAATATTTGCAAACTGGAAAGAGATATCTGTATATTTCTTTAAAAATACAATAACAAACCACCAACAAACTCAAACAAACAAAAACACCTAAAAGAAAAACAAACACACAAAAGCAAACATGGTCAGAACAAGATAAACATCTGAGGTGTAAGAGCCTGTTAAAATCACGTTTCCAGGAAGTTTTGATTTAAATGCTAAATTATATTTTGCTTTTCCTTTAGATATTGTAGAAGGAATGGTGAACAAAGGAATTTACGTCACTGAAAAGAAAGGAGTTACCTTTCTCTTCTTTGGAAGCTACCAAAATTCTTGCATTAGTAATCCAGAAGTTTGTGGACCTGAAGGTGAGAAAATTTATTAATTATTTTTTACATTTCTTTTGCTGTCAAATTATGTAATTCAATACTCGTTGTTTCTTTCCTCATTGGAACGAAATCTAAAAATCTAACTTGACACTTTTTTGACTTCTAAAACAATTGTGTGTTGATTGTTGAAAATTTAGTCTTTTCTAACTGCAATTTAAATTAAAATTGGTCACCAACTAGTCAGAGCAACGTTTTACAGTGTAATTAATTCAAACAAAGCCAGAAATAAACTTACAGTGTCCAAAGTCTTACCAGTGGCAACAAAATTAATTGATTCCTACAAGAACAGCAGTTTGACAAGCAAAGAAGTTGTAACACAGACTTCAAATTTAGGAGACAGATTCAGTGTGGCCTCTCAGCAGGAATGGGTTTGGGTTATTCACATTTATCTCTAGAGAAAACAAAATTTACAGGTCTCTGGTGTTATGGAATCCATTTGTCCTCATAGACACTTGAATCTCTGTTCTGTTTCTGTTCCCTTTTTCTTGGGTTAGGGCACCAAATGACAGGTGGAATGGGAAGGGCACAGGTTTGACAACGTGTTGGTTCCAGGAAATGGCTCAAACTGTGTCTGACTGTCAAACCAAGCATTCACCTTGTCACTGACATCAAACATTCACCAGGGGTTTAAAAGTCTGTGCAAATGGAAGACTCAATAGAAAATGGGGCTTCCTATAAACTCCAGCAGTCCCTAAACTTAAGCAGACTTTGTTAATATTGAATTTTTTTGCTTTTATTGATTTCGGTTGTTCTTCCAACAGGTGACATTGCTTGAAATAGGATTACTTTTGAGCTGATAAAACAAGAGCTGTGTATGAGCTTTTTATGAAAGTAGGAGACACTCAGAGAGCAGATGGTACATGGCTGTTACCTGAGAGTATTAGAAAAAGTAATTCAGTATCCAGCTGTAGGTGTATTTTCTGATATATACTGTATCTTTTCATACTTTTTTTTCATACCACTGGGAAATAAAAATCATCAGGAATTCATATCATTTCAACATCTACAATATAACCTAATTATTTTTATAGCACCAGAGCACTCCCAGTATCTCACAAATAAGGACATTAAAAGCATAAAACACTGAAATGTCCAGTAGGTAAAATGTGAAGAACTCATACAAACCATAAATACTAAATCACTCTAGCAGGTATTAATAAAAAAAAGGGGGAAAAGCCAACACTCTTTTGTCTAAAGGGAGTTTCTTTTCTAATCAAATACACCTGTGGCAAGGATAAGGTGTAATTTTATGATGAAAGGTAATTTTATTCCAGCCTGTCGTTGCTAAAACATCCCTTGATTCGTTGGTTGTGTTTGGGTGAAACTGGTGTTAAGTACAATCAACCAGTGGAACAAAATGGTCTTGGGATCTTTCCAGATGAAATAGTCCGACCTATGAGACAAAAATCCCACTATTTTTTCCTAGGCTGAATTTCATAACATCTCAGGACTGTTATTTTTACTTGAGAAAACAAATTCTTCTCGCTTTTGAAACGTCAAAACGCTCTTCCCCCGCCTCGCTCTTTCTCAAGCAGTTCTCAAACAATGGTTTTTCTGTGAGCAGTTTTGGGCTCCTTGGAGTGGTATTTTCAGTCAAAAGAAACATTTGTGAAAGATGCAAGAGAATGTTCTCGTGCTCATTAGCTTGAGCACATCAGGAGAAGCCGGATTTAGCCAACATACATGAAGTTGAAATTCAAAAAAGATTTTAAAAAGCTCTGTGCAACATAACATTTCACAAAGTTGGATGTTTGTTGTGTGCCTGACTTTAATTTTTACTTTTAGTTTTGGAATATCCTGGTCCAAGGTATAAGGAGGATTTAGATCCAGTTTTCCCGTGGCCACAGGTTGATGAGTTCCTACAGGTCAGTCCAATAGGACAGACAGTCAAAGATGGGACAAATCAGCTCCACTGCAGACAGGCTGCAAAATTAAGTCTCACTATCTGCATAAACTGCATCTCTCAGCCTGTAAAGAAGGAATAACAGCAATTCCTTACGTTTCAGAAGTGGGAAAAGGTTGTGAGAGGCTTTGACAGAGGGATCCTGTGAATAGCAGGAGTAGCTGAACGTGGTCAGGTTTGGTGTCACCAGAGGGGTGAAGGGTGCTGTGCAAGGGACACCCAGGGCTTTCTGGAACAAGAGTTGGATCAGTGTTTCATCCTGCTCCTGGTGTGGTAAAGAGGCTGAAACATGAACTCAGATTTACCTGCTGATGAAGATATTGCAACTTGATTGCAAGACACCTCAAATCCTTCAGCTGGGAGTCCACAGCATTTTTACAGCTTTAAACCCACACCCATCAAGATCAAGGAAACTGAGGTCGATGGTGTTCATTCACTGATTGATTTCTAGGAGGCCAGTGATGTTGGTTGGTCATTTCCATGGGGATTATTTTATCATGTATAAAGCATAAAAGGGAATGGGATGCAGACCATGCAAACTGATTGTTGCTGTCAGGAGGATGGACACAAAGATCAGTTAGACAGGAAGATATTACTTAGTTAAATTATTTATTCTGCAACAATTTTTAGCTTTTCTGCTAAGCTAGTGTGATAAAAAGATTATGTGAAATATAAAAAAATTATGTACCACATCTACCATTTCTGATGACTGTCGTGAACTGTCTGAGGCTTTTCTATCTTTGATCATAAAACTATGAAACATGTAAAAATCTATGGATTTAACAAGAAATGTACATAGTAGTTTGAGAGCTTCATTAACTTGTCCTGGGCTATCTGGTAGCAAATTGGCAAAGTTCATACTGCTTGGAGGGCCTCAGAACTGCTAACTATAAAATCATCCAGATAGGTAGTTTGACTAAACGTAAAAAAGAGCAGAGTCAGCAGGTTAAGTGAAGTGATTATTCCTTTATTCCCCTCTGTTCAGCACTCATCTGAAGTGCTGTGTCCCATTTCTGTCCCCTGATACAAAGGAGGTGCTGACAAGCCAGAGTGAGTCTGGCAGTTGGGTCTGGTAGGACATGGGAGGGGAGGCTGAAGCATTTCCTTACACCGTGAAGAAATGAGAATTCTAAGGGCTGCCTCCACCTACCTGGTGAGTGGTTATAGAAGCAGATGGAGCCAAAAAATCTTAGAGATGCACAGTGAAAATGTGCCAGGTAATCCAGGCACATCTTAGCCCAGGAAATGCTGACTGGATCTAAGGAAAAAAAAATTCTCCCCGATGTGGGTGGCCAAGCATCGGGGTGGTTTACACAGAGAGGCATCCAGGGTGATGTTAAAATCCCAGCTGAGCTCTGAGCAACAAGATCTATCTCAGAAACTGGGCCTGCTTTGAGCAGGCAGTTTAGATGAGGTGATCTTCAGGGTCGTTGCCTTGTTAATTCACTGTGATCCCCGGTGGCAAAACCTCTTCCACTTCCGTACTTAGAAACTTTTCCTCAACCTGCTCTGAACTCAAATTTTACTGTTAGCACTTTGTTAGCACTGTGAATTCTGAGGTGAACACTTTTAGGAGCTCTTCAGTCAAGCCATTTTCTTTGTAATTGTATTTGACTGCAGAACCTCTCCAGCAGAGCCAGGAGAACTTTTGCAGTGCGAGGGAGGTCTGATTTGCTGCTTGTGTTTAAGTTTAGCCTTTCGAGGTGACCCTTAATAAAGGAACCACTATCTTATGGAAATCATATTTCCTAAGGTGTAATCTGAGAGCTCCTCCATTTTACAGTTCAAGTAGTAAAATTTACTGTGAATCAAACAGCATTATTTGTGGACAAAGCTAATCACTCATGAACTTGCAGGACTGCACTTGCATTTGAGCAGAATTCTTTTATTTTTGTGTATTTTTTTCTGTGGCTCTGCATGTGTAGCTGTTCCATTCTTTTACACTGATTCTTTGCTTTCAGGAGTTATTGGAGCACTGAAGTGTGAAAACACATGTAAGAGCATGCTTAAAGAATTAAAGTGTGATTAGCAACGAGTGCTACTCAATAAGTGAGGGCAGCCAGGCAGTGCATCAGTGGCTTGGAAATGGTCAATGCACTAATTCTGGCTGTGACGGTGTTGGGTGAACACCAAAAAAAATGTAGGTGTTGGATATGGTGGAGGATATGGGGATATGTGAGCAAAGGGAGTTCTGGAACAAGTGAAGATCTCAGGAGGAAAGGGGGATCATCACAGGAGGGTGGGAGGGGTGAAGAGAATAGAGAGATAAGGCAAAGGGAAGCATAAATCTGGGAGAAAGAGACTTTTGATCAAAAACCTTCGGCTTTAACTGACAGAAGCTGCTCAGGGCACTGATTCTTGCTCTGTCCTGTGTGTGCACATGTGATGCAAAACAGGGAGAGATGTTTATTTGGCTTAAACTGCTGGAGTATTGTTGATTTTAAAAACCCTGTCCTTGTTTATGCTAGCAGATGATCTGTCCTCAAAAGCATTCCCACTGGCTGTATTCTGCATATTGGAAATTTTTAATTGCATTCTTTTTTTTTTCATTAAAGTCTCCTCTCACTTGCTTTTGTCAGGAGTAACATTTTCCTTTTTCTGGAAGACTCAAGACCAACAGGCCAAGTTTCTCCCTGCCTCTGGTGGACGGGTAATTTCCAGTGGTTTCAAAATCTGTTCAAACGAAGGTGAAGGCTCAGTGGAATTTTACACCCGTGGGAATGCAATGATGAAGTGGAAAGCAAGCTTTAGCCCACCAGGTAAAATTTATAATTTAAAAAAAGAAAAGTAATTTCTTTGTTACTTTTTGCTCTATCCTTGCAGACAGAGGCAGTGGGAAGAGCACAACATCAGGAAAGAGAAGTAGATGTATAAAAACAGCTACAGATCTCTGTGCTTGAGAATTCTCTTGATGAGGGGAGAGAGAGATAAAGTGCAAACTGAAAAAGTGATATTTTACTGGAGAACATTTGCCATTCAGTAACAGGCCTTGGATCCAGCTTCCACTTGTTTCTGAAGTGGAGTTACTATTGACATCAATAGATTAATGCATGTTTAGATGGAAACATGAGCAAAGAATGCTGGTTAATCCCTGACAGTTCTCAGTATATTCCAAAACTGGTGGGCTGCCTCTGCTGCCTCCTAAATTAAGACTTTATTTGGTAACTATCTAACTGGGTGTTTAGTTCTTTCATAATTTTGTTATCTGTTGAGTGTCAAGTTTTCTATGCCATGCCATAGTATTAATAAACATCCTGGTATATCACATATCTTACTGCTTCTATCTAAACTGTGTATTGTAATACCTAATGACTGCAACAAATTCTGGTCTTCTGATCATGCTACTGACATTCAGTAATATTTTTTTGCCTTAATTTGACTACCCGTGCATTGTTAAAATAGGGCTTTCTAACCTCATAGTAGCAGAGTTTTGTAAAGTTTAATGAATCAGTTTAGAAATCTTATTTTAAGAGAAAAGCTGCTAAATGGTAAGAATAATTCACACTTTTTGTGGTTTATCCAATCCTAGTGGAAATTAATATTATGTTTTCTAACTCTCAAGCATAACAAAGCAACAGTGACAACTTTTAATTAGTCTGTTTGCTTGTTCTCCAGTTCTTGCAGCCTTTGTGCTGTTCTTGCTGAGCTGAGTTTTGAGACAGTATTGAAGAGACCTCAAATCTTGGCCAATAATACTCAACAGCTGTAATTTATGGAGCTGCAGTGAGCCCAAGTTCAGACAAAAGCTAGCAGGCATTCTGCCAAAGCATGGGCTTCCCCATGGGTATAAAGATTAATATACACAGCATCAGTATTCCATAAGTCACTCTTAGCACTTCCTATGCAGCTCCACACCATTGCACGAGTCAGCAAAAACCCCCCTGAACAGGAAAGGCTCCAAATGGAATTGATTCATGGCTTCTGCTGTGACTTTTAATGTCCCGCAGGTCCTTATTGGACTCACATTCTCTTCACTTGGAAATCAAGAGAAGGGCTGAAAGTCTATGTCAATGGAACTCTGAACACAACTGACCCAGATGGGAAGGTTTTCTATGATTATGGAGACCCCAGTGCCAATCTCCTGACGGGGACAGAGGGGGAGCAGAGCAAGCGCTACGTGAACGGGGCCTTCGATGAATTCATCATCTGGGAAAGGGCTCTGACCCCCCGGGAGGTCGAGCAGTACTTTACAGCTGCTATTGGTGAGTGTCTGCATGGTTAGAGCTCATCATCTCTAAAGGTGCTGACGTGTGTGTGCAGGGTTTGCATTTGTTTTACATCTCTCAGCTGTTCAGCACAACTTTTAGAGGCGCAAAATGTCAGCTGTGAATGTCACCGGGACACTCAGCTGTCTTTGGATGTGCAGCCTTTTCATCTTGGGTTCCTTTACCTGAAGTGATAAAGACTTATTATAAGTGATAAAGACTTATTATAAGTGATAAAGACTTATTAGCTGCTTGGGAACTAAAAGAAAAGAGATCAGCTGAAATGTAATAGAAAAGGCAAAGAATCGGGATTAGAACAAAGACAAAGTCTGGCCAGTAAATCCTGTCAGTGGTTCTATGGATCCTTATAATAAACCTTTCACTACAAGAAGGGATGTTGCTATTAAGTGTGAGCAGCAATTAGAAAGCATCCATCTTGGGAATAAAGCTATGGGCCACCTGGAACATTTGGCTTTGCTGGAAGTTTCCCTGCCTTCATTTATTCTTGCTAGGTTTCTGAGAGCTAAAGCAGTTACACCCATAACTCATGTGCTTTTAAACCCATGGGAACCATTTTCATAACACAGAACTTCTGATGTGTGCCTGGAAATGAGAATGTGCTTGTTTGCGGCTTCAAAGTTTGATTATGCCAATCAAATATATACAAAACGTGTTTTATAAAAAATAAAGTATAAAGTAGTTTATGTGGAATTGACGTTACTGAAAAAGAAAACCTTCCACCTGGTATATAATGAAGCAATCTGTTTGATTTCCCACACAAATAGTAGGAACTTCACTCAAGTGTTTTATATTAAAGCCTTTTTATTTTAAAAAGTGATTCCTCTGAAAGTCTTCAGAACTTCTGATTGTGAGCCTATTCATTTGGTAGTCATTTGATACAGGAAATAGCTTTAAAAACGTAAAAAAAAAATTTACAATGCTCTAGTCATGTTGGAAAAAATGCTTTTGTATTTGGCTGCCGTATCTTTCACAACAATGGAGGGTTACTATAACACCATCCAACTCCAAGCTGCCATAAATCAGACTCTTTGATTAATGCAACTCAAGAAGAATGTTACGGTGCTGAACTCAAGAGAGGTAGATTTTCAAATTGCCCTGATTCATCCATATGTGTGCCCTGTCTCACTGTCACAGAACTATGGCTTCTGTAAATAGGGAACTCTTTTTCTTTAACCCCTTGAATCCTTGTGAACTCACAAGGCTCCCCCATTCTCCCATCTTCACTCCAATAAATAACCAAGGCACCGTGGAAGGCCCTTTCCACAAAAGCAAATCCTGCTCAGGGCTTAAGTTTTTACTCCTCCCCTCTATACTTTTGGTTTGGAAAGAGTCTTACTGGGGCTCAAAACATCTGTTTGCTGGACATTGGTGTTTGTAGCTCCGTTTTGAAACCCTGCAGAGAGAGTTGGGGCCTCCGAGTCTGTTGGGGGGGGGAAGAGCTGTTGAACAAAGATGGATTCCAATGTTTTAACTGTACACTTGCCCTTTAAATTAAATTATAACACTTGAAATTCCTGTTTGCCAACAAAGATTTGAGTATTTAAAATTTAGACTGCTGCAGGGCTCATCCACACAAAGATGAGGAAATAAAATTGACGAGAGAATCAGAAAATTAAATGTCTTAAACAAGCATGTGTAGCTGCAGTAATGAAAATAAGTAAAATCCACAGAACAGCAAATCTGTTGATTCCAAGTAGAACTGATTCAGCCTGCAGTGGGAATATATATATATATATATATATATATGATATTTAAACATCAGATTTGTTAACGCTCTCATTTGTGTTTGTATTTTTCCAGGTGTGCAAGTTTTGCTTTCTTCCACAATTCCATGGTCTCTGATGACAACCACTACAAAACCTGTGGTAGGACAGTCCTCCTAACTCTTTTCTGTAATGTCAGAATGTGCATATATTACATACAGACATGTCTCACTTCATAATTTGCGTTAATGGCACTTAATACCCCAATTATATATACTTTTGGATATGCACAGGGAGAATTTTTAGCCACTATGGAAAGATGGAAGTACTACACAACTCCTAAAGTAAGACAGATGAAAGAAATTAACTCTAGATAAAATATTTTTTATATTAAAAAAAGGGAAAAAAGTAGTAACTTCTGAAGTATTACATTTAACTTTGAAGATGTAGGACACGAAAAATCATTTTGATAATTTTTCCTTTTGTTTCTTTTAAAATTAGAAAAAAAAAATCCCACCACGATAACAAAACCGGTTTTCATCCATTTAGTGAAAGTGCAATGAAAATGATGAAAAATAAAATCAATTTTTCATATGGAGAATAGATACAATTAGCTGTAATCAATTAGCTGTAATCAGCCTATGTGCAATTAGCTGTTGCAGTGTATTGTCACGTTCTTGCTTTCTGCAGTATCTGAGTTCTGTTAGTTTTTGTTCACTGATGCTTTCAGGGAAACCTGGTAGATAGCAATGAAAAAATTAATCTTTGAGTATTCTGGTTATTCTATCATCTATCTATCTATCTATCTATCTATCTATCTATCAATCTATTCATATATTCATCTATCCATCTATCCATCTTATATATATGTGCTTTCCTTTTCCCTTGGCTCCTGTAGCCTCCTGTGTGTGACCACAGCAGCCTGCTGTGCCTTGAGCTCCCTTTTGGGGCTAAACCCATAAATCCTGGTGTCCATATGGGATAACCTGTGCTGAGTTGTGCCTCTGCTGTAGCTCTCCACCAACGCCTATCGACCCATCATCACCAACCTCACCGAGGAGAGAGGGAATTTCCGCTCCCCCGACGCCACGCTGGGGTACCTGGAGAACGTGTCCTTCAGCTTGCCCAACGAATCCCTGTCACAAAACACTGCTCTGAGCCTCACAGAGGTGAGTGTCTCTCACTTACCTGCCTGTGTGTGCAGCCAGGTGGCACTGAAGTTTCTCCAGAACCTGGAAATGTCGAACGAGGTTTTGAAAGTTTTTGCTCATTGTGGAAAATACGTATGAAAAAAAGCAGGAGCTGCTTTTGGGGGGGTAGCACAAGGTGAGCTTCAACCAGAAGCTTTAGAGATCTCATTGGTTCTTGAAGATATTATTTAGTGCCTTTGGATCTCTAACTATGAGACTTTTTGGTGCTGGAGCATGTCCAGGGGACAACAGAGCTGGGGAAGGATCTGGAGCATGGATCCAATGAGGAGCAGCTGAGGGAGCTGGGGGGGCTCAGCCTGGAGAAAAGAAGGCTCAGGGAAGATCTTATTGCTCTCCACAACTCCCTGACAGGAGACTGTAGCCAGGTGGGAGTTATCTCTTCTCCAAGTAACAAGCAATAAGACAAGAGGAAACGGCCTCAAGTTGCGCCAGAGAGGTTCAAATTGAATATTAGGGAACATTTTTTCACTGAAAGGGTTGTCAAGCCCTAAAACAGGCTGTCCAGGGAAGTGGGAGTGTCACCATCCCTGGAGGTATTTAAAAGGCATGTAGATGTGGCATTTGGGGACATGGCTTAGTGGTGGGCTTGGCAGTGCTGAGTTACTGGTTGGATTCGGTGATCTTAAAGGTCTTTCCCAACCTAAGTAACTGAAGCTAATCCACAGAGAGAAAAAAGAAGGTGGCATTTTCTGCAGTCTGAGCTGAGACTATGGGATCATGTTCTGCTAACATAAAGTTAGCCTGCTGTAAAATGATGGGTATCTAATTCCCTGATTTCAGCAGGCTACAAAGCTATTGTTACAGTAATCAGCTCTGGCCCCGCTGGTGATTGTTCCTTTAAGCCCGCGGGTAATACCGGGGTGACGAGGATGCTTTACTCAGACAAACAAAATAAATAAATGCCTCTGCAAACGACACGGGACAGCAATTGATAGGTCGGGTTAAAAGCTTGGCGTTTGCAAACTGTAAAGCTCGGATTTCACGGATCACGGTTTAATATGTAGCAAACCCCCTCCTAAAAAGCTCTAATACATTGTTTCCTTTGTTTTACTGAAAAAAATTTGTGTGGGCTCTAAACCGCAAATGGAACATGGCCCCTCCAGACACCAATACCTGTTTCCCACATCGTTCCAGTTGCTCTTTGGTTGCTCATTCATGCTGTCTGATGCTGCTTTGTCTGCCACGAAAGTGATTTGCAGACAGAAATGTGGGACGTGATTATCTTTAGCGAAGCTATTTTGGGAAATAAACACAAGAGAGTCCTGATCATACATCCCCACTCTGTCATTTGTCTGATTGATGGTTGGGCTTTGTATTGTCTGCAACTAATTCCCTGAAAGGCAGGCACTGAGCATTGCATGGGATTTTCTGTGGAGTTGTCTCTGTCCTGATTGTTGCATGCCTCACAGCACAAGGAAATTTGATTTAAGTGATATGCAATAAACTTTCTGATTACTGACACGCATCTATAATGAATGGCTTCTGACAGATCTGGCTTGTGTTTTGCTATGTCATGTCTTCCACACTTCACAGTGGAACTTCTTCTATATTCAGTTATTCTATAAAGAAATTTTAATAGATAAATTTGAGCAGGAGTTGTGGGGTTTTCTCTTTTAATTTTAATTTTCAGTGTCATTTTCTGTGCTTCCTTTTCTCCTTCTATTTGTCTGTATTGGCAAGGCTCCTTAGGACTGTGACTATATTGTGTTGAGCACTTGAATGGTGCCCAGTGTGACAACTCTTGACCCCAAAACCAAACTTTAAGTGCAAAAGTTAAGCAGCTAATAAATTGTACAGAGTGAGGGGAAATTTATCTAGTGCTGTGGAAAAAGGCAGTCATTTAAGACCAGAAGAGGCCTACAGGAAAGATGGAGAGGGATCTTTTATCAGGAACTGTAGTGACAGGACAAGGAGGAATGGCCTCAAACTGAAGAAGAGTAGGTTTAGACTGGATATTAGGAAGAAGTTCTTCCCTGTGAGGGTGGTGAGGCCCTGGCACAGGTTGCCCAGAGGAGCTGTGGATGCCCCATCCCCAGAAGTGTCCAAGGCCAGGTTGGACGGGGGTTGGAGCAACCTGGGATAGTGGAAACTTTCCCATGGGAGCAAGACTGGAACAAGATGATTTTTAATGTCCCTTCCAGCCCAAACCATTCCATGATTCTATTGATGTCATATGAGTTTAGACAAAATGGGAGAATAAGTTCACTTTAGTGTTCAGTTCCTAATAAGTTCACTGAGTGTCAGCTCAGCTGTAGGATAATCACTGCACTCTGGGAGTTACACAGTGGTGTTGCTTTTAATAAATAAATTATTACTTTAAAATGTCACCATGCAGAACATGGTGAGAGTGCTGCCAGGTAGGGATGGATCTGTGACTTGAATGGCAGTGGGCTTGTCATGTTGGCATAAACCTGAGACAAATCCTAGCAGAGATCTGCCTTGGATCCTTTGCCAGGAGATGTAACTGATTAATAAATAATCAAATAATGGAGTTTTATTTGTCTTTTAGGCATTTTTAAAAGCTATTGAAGACTTTATGTTGTTGCCCCACCTGATTGATGGACCACAGGTAAGACAAATGGGCTTGGATTTGTAGATTGCTTTGGTTGCATAAATTCACATGGATGATAATGGAATTGGTTGTCTCTGTTATTATGCTTGTTAGGGCTTTTTTGGCAGTATGACTTACTTATTTTCTTATCTGTCACTTCCATATTTGCTGTAAAGACACACAGGGAAAAAATTATGTAATTCTCTTTTATAATATGATCTTGAGGGTTAAAATAAAGGAACTTTATCTGCTGCCGTTTCCACATATTTCAGGATGAATGAAACAAAACTGTACTTATAAAATAACAGACATTGTCACTAAATTAGGTGTTTAGCCACTCCTTTTTTAGCACTGACCTCTGATACTTAAAGGTTTATATTTTTTGGTAGATTGATGCTTTTCAATGCACATGAAATATGTGGTGGTGCTTACCTGTTTTGTGATCTGAAGCTTTGAGAGAGATTAGACCTGATATGGGGAAAAATGACCTGTATAAATGTTCTTTCTTTTCTACTCTACCTATTATTGTGCCAAGGAATACCCGCAGGGTGAATCCAGGAGTTTCCTGAGATTTTTTGCCTGAGCCTTAAGAAAGCACAGATTGCAGAACAGAGAGCTTTTAAACTGAGAAAGGGAGAGGCTAAAGCAAATCAAGGTCTCATTGAAGTCTAAAATGCTTTTAAGACAAAAAGATGTCTAATTGATTTAAGTTCTTAGCCTGAAATCCTTGATCATCTCTGGTGTAAATGGATTTCAGATAAAACTGAAACATGCATTAACTCTGAGATTTTATGGATCAGGTTTCAACCTGCAGGGTTAAAGTAGCTTTATACTTTAAAGGAGCATTTTAATAAGATGAAACTGTAGTTTCTCATCTTGTGTTCTGACACAGATCTGATACCAATCTTTAAGTATCGTCAAAAAAATTCTTCACAGTTCTTGGCCTCATTCTGCTGAATCCTCAGTATAATTGACTGTCCAATGCTGGTGGGAGCAACAGTCATTTGCAGACATTCCATAAAACACAGTATTTTATATAGTTGGGCTCTGGGTGGCATCAGTTTGTGTAACATTTTACCCGCTAGACGTGGAAAAGGCCACGTTTGGCTCGGGGTGGTTGAATGATGAGTCAGGCAGGGATTTAACCTGTAGTTTTGTGCTGTGAATGGCAGTTCCTTTGCTGCAGAACCTTCTCTTCCTTGCCCCCTCAGACACCTCAGGTGTTTGGCAGTTTGATCCAGACCATCGACACCGTCATGTCTCACGTCACGCGTAACCTGGACGAGGACTCCTCTCCCTTGACCATCGAGGGCACGTCGCCTGTGGCAGGTGGGATTTAGCAGGGACATTCCCTCTGGAATGATTTAGCAGGGACATTCCCTCTGGTAGGATTTAGCCAGGGACATTCCCCTGGTAGGATTTAACAGGGATGTTCCATCCAGGCTGTCTGGGTGTCCTAAATGCTTCTGTGCTTGCAGCCAACACAGAGGAGGGAATCAAATCGGGTTATTTTCTCTTTTGAACACAAACCAGAGCTTCAGCTGGAGAAAGATGAGTGTGCAGTTAGTCCAGAGGTAATCGGCTCTGACTGTGCTTGAACTCCCTCGAGGTTATGTGGGGAGGAACTCAGAATGTGAATTATATGTGGAGAATCTGGTAATACTATGCTAATAGAGTTAAAGGGCCTAGAGCTCTTATGCAGCACTTCGAAGTCGCAGATGTCTGGGTGCTACAAAACCTTAATTTTTGCAAGAGGCTGAAAATAATGGGAAGAGTTCTGACCTTTTTGCAGAATTTTATTTTACTGTTCTTTAGCATCCTAGCACCCTCACTTCATCTGCATCTTTGGATGCTACAGGTATCAAAGGTAATTTATTTCTTCTGGCGTTCTGCTGTGCCTTGTGGGCTAAATAACCTGAGCAGTCCCCAGTACCATTAATCACTGCATGTGCTCTCTTGGACGCTGGGATTCTCAAATGGAGGGCTGAAATAATGCCTTCAAATGTCAGTGGAAGAGAGCTATTAATCTGTTTTGCTTGCCCTGGTAAGATCAGTGTTTGAGGCTGGGTGAAGTGATCCATGGTATATTAACAGTGCACGTAGCACCTTTTCTGTCATAAAGGAGTCAGGTATAAAAGGCAATTTTATACTTGGGGAATTTACTATATTTTCTGCAAACATATGGGGTTTTAAATTCAAGACTTGCAACAGCTATTAGGGAAGTCTAGTTAAACAGTCAAGTAGGTTGTAGAGGCTATTGATTTTATGATATTTTTGTTTGGGTTCTCACGCAGATTACACTGTGCTCAAAATGCATCCTCAGACTCTGAATTTGTCCCACTATCAATTTCCATCTCGGGGGCAGAGTTATATTTCCATTCCCAGTGAAGCTTTCCATGAAAAAGGTAAGGAAAAGCTTAAAGGGAGGAGTGAAGTCATGTACACAGGGTATCCAAAAATGGTTTTGCTTGAAAACAAGTTATGGTTCACTTTATTTTTCCAAGTAACTGATTTGATCCCTCTTGGTTGTACTGGCTCTGAGGAAGCAGCAGTTGTCCTGTCATATCAATGAATGTTTAATATGGTAGAGTTTTCATATTACTTGAATTAATGTTGAATAATAGAGCTGGGCCACAGAGACTGAAGCCATTTAATTTTGACACATTTTTATATTAGAGAAGCCTTAATCTCATAAATTTGTTTTAATCATCTGAACTGGTTATTTTTAAGAAATTCCAGGTTGTCAGATTAGGTGTTGCTTATCCCTTCACGCAAAATTGCTCTTTTGTGTAAAATTAAACGATAAAATGACAGGTTTAAGCGACAGCAGCTACAGAAACAAAATGAAGATATAGGCTGCAGTCATGGCAAAAAGGCAACACTCAGAAATCCATACCTAAGCTAACATTTTAATAATCTCAAAAGCAAGGTATGGCAAAAAACTGCAACTTTATTCAAGACTCTAAAATAACTATTTGAAGTTAATTATCTATGTTTTACTCAGGGATTGAGGGAACTTATTTACAAAAGTATCTACCCCCATCCTCAAATATTTGAAAGTCTGACTTATGTGCCCTAAATTCCAACACACAGAATTTGCTCACCCACAGACCTTTCTGCAGTCACCTCTGTTGAGGGATGGTCAGTCCCTTTTCACAAAGTGCAAAGTTAGCTGAAAATAACCTGCAGAGAGAAATTCTCTAATAATTACTGAACTGTCTGCCTGATTTGTGATGACAGTTTTGTTGCTTTGCACTGGCAGGGGCTCTGGCTGGAGACTGCAAGTGCTCCGAGGTTTGAACAACTATAATTGTAAACCAACTTGTAAGGCCAAAAACAGCATGTGAGAGCACTTTTTTCCTTTCCCACTTATAAAATTTCTCACCGTGCAGATTTTTTTTCTTCAGAACATTGTCATGCTTCGTATCCCGAAATTATCCAGTGCATTAAATGTTTTATTCTTTTTCCACCTGAAGCTCACTTCTGAGAAATTTCAACCCTGAGGCCACACTTCTACACTGCCCAGATGAGCTAAGCTAAAAAAATCTGTTATTTCACCTTAAACAGCTGACACTATAAATACTTGGAACCCAGCAAAAGGGGTAGTAAAAGATATCTGCGTGGTTCACTCTTAGAAAATACACATCTGTCTCTTCACTCAGATGCTGGAGAGCCCAAAAATGCTGGAATGTGGGCAGCAAAGAGAAAACCAGCATCAGAACTGGGTGCCTCTGAGTTTCACAAGCTGCCAGTTCTTGTAGGTGGTGGTGAAGTGGCCTTGAGGTTACAGAGACACCGACTCTGGTGTGTCCTGAGACCCTTTCTGGTGCTGTGTGTGGGATTTATAAGTGACAACTGATTATTCAGCAGCTTATTTTGGAAGTGGGGTTGTGTAGGGCAGGCTTCCTCCTATTTTACTTTTGAAATCCATCTCTTGTGCTGCAAAATGTGTTCAGATTTTTCACTTGCTTAAAAGAACAATCAGAAGTCTGCTAAAGCAAAGATATGAAGGTGAACGTAAATCAAGGCTCTTAATTAACACAGAGCTTCAGGCCTAGGAGAGAAGTGCCCCTTGCTTAGAACTGTTGCTCTGAGGAATAACTCCTGTTCCCTTTTCACAGCTTGGATCACCATTGTGGGCCTGCTTTACCATAACATGCATTATTTCTTTCACAATATCAACCCTATGGATACCAAGTGAGTATCTCAGACCTCTCGTGTTTTAACAGCTTGTTTATTACCTTAGTGATACACCTTTATAACAGTCAGGTCGTTATCAGCTGTAAATAAATTACAAGCCATAATCCTGATTCTGCAATGTTGAGGACATGTAGTCATTAACTAGAGAAAGATTAAAGTTTACATTAGATGTTTTATTTTACGTCGCAATAAAATAGATTCCCGTGGCGACATGTTTGTCTTTCTTTGTCTTCTCCTTCCATTCATCTGATCTGGTACTAGAAAAATCATCATTTTAATCTGCCTCATAAAAGAAAATTACGTCTTTTCTCCTGACACATATAAAGATAAAGCTTGCACTTAAATGAAACAAATAAGAAAACATAAAATCCCCCTTCGGACAAAATCTGAATCCTAATCCTAGAAACCCGTAAGGTGATTTTACAACAGGAGACCAGGCAATGCTTTAAAGACCCTTTGTTTTATGTACTGCATCAGGGAAATCATTAGCAGATAAGACAAAGTAAATGCAGAGCTGTAGAGCTCCCTGCAATACAGTTCCCCGGGGGATTTTTGCAAGGCCATTCATGTAAATCATTACACTTTCCCTTTAGGCAAGTGGATGACTTTGTGTTTCCCTTTGGTTTTCCCTGGGGTACAGAGAGCAGTTTGCACTTCCAGTCTTTTCCAATCTGTGACTTTTTTGCCGTGTTGTTTCTGACAGCAGGAAAGATGCAGCCCCTCTGCTCTCCTGAATGTCAGGGATTGCCTCCCTTTCCTGACAAGGGAGTTTATGGTCACGGGATTTCTTTTGTGAACTTCAGGGTAAAGAATCCTGGCTTGATTGATCCAGATTGGATCACAATCCACGTTGATCACCCTGAGATAACCACACAACTATTACTAAACAGCATTTCTAAATCCATAGCAAGCTGTGCTGTTGGTTGCCCTGCTCTCTCAAACAAAAGGACACTCAGCAGGTGGCTGCCAGGGAACTGTGTCATTAATGTGCAATATTTCATAGTGACATGAAGAAATAGAGACAATAATTTATGATGGCTTTTATTTTTCAGGCAGGAGGATCAATGCAATTTATTAAGATAATCAACTAATAAGATGATAATAATCTCAATTTTTCAAAGGGAGAAAGAGACTGAATATGGTCCTGACTTAGGTCAAAGTTTAGCAAACACATTATTAAAGATGCTGCATGGTAAAGCACTGTATTGTAGTGCATTGTCATAGATCCTGGGGCTCTGATATAGCAAAATAAAACAGTTGTGTCATATTTGTGGACATTCTCTGAAATTTGTGGAATAGGACAACATTCCTGGTCTCCTGAGTTTTGTGTGTTTTAAGCACTCTTTTAGAGGAGGAAGGATCTGGCCCTGTCACAATGTTAAATAGAAGCACAAAGACATGGCAGAAGAAATGTTTTCTAGATTTCTCTAATTAATTCAAAGTACTTGAGCTGCTTGAAGTGTGTAATGCACAACAAAATCAAGTCTATAAAATTGTAGGTGCAGGTCTGTTCAAAACAGCATCTAAAAAGTTAATAATAATACAGGGAATTCTAGCTTAGTGATTTTTCCTCTCTGGAACCAAACCCCAGGTATTGAAAAAATGCTTTAAAAATAAGTATGCACTTCTGCTGGCTTTACTGTTGTGTGCTCTGCTATTATAACTTTTTGGCTTACTTTTCAGTAGAATAACAACTTTTTCACAGAGTAGTTTGTTTTAAAGACTTTTAAAAATGTTCCTTACAGCACTGGGCTGCTTGAACACCTGTAATTTGAACCCTGTCCATTTTCTTCTAAGGGGCATTTTTTTTTCTGTTGTGGTGGAAAACCAAACGCAAAACTCTTGGAGCTTTTGTGCTATACACACAGATGACTTCTATTTTCAGTCTACATAAATAGCAGTTTCTAAGGGGAGTAACTTTTGATTCTTTAAAAAAAAAAATAAATTGAAACACAACAATACTTTGAGTTCTGCTCATGTACAGTTTGTGTAAATCTGCCTTCTCACACCCAGGGCCACGGTGAAGAAAGGCTTGTGCATGCACAGAAACACTATTTTCTGCTTGTGATGAAGATTTTTTTCTCACTTCAAAACTCATCAAGCTCTCTGAGGTTAAAACAGCAGATAAAGGGTGTGGAAAAAACATCCTTCTTCTTAATCTGTGCAGGAGAAATCTCAAAATGTCAGATAAAGGTTTGAACATCATTAGTCCTTCTCTAAACTTAAACTTTTCATACCAGAGGAGGCAAATTCTCTCCTCAGATGAACAAATTCCATTCAGGTGCTGGTTGCTGGGAGCAGAAGTAATCTCTGATCCTGATGGGTTTTTTAAGGTCAGAAGGAAGGGCTGGTGCTTGGGGCTGTGCTAAATGAGTTCTGTTCCATTTGACCCTGCCAAGGAACTCAGGGTGGTTATTTGAATGTCTGACATGACTTTTTCTCTTGTTTCCTGAAAGCAAAATAAGAAAGCATCACAGACAGGTGGCAAATGTAAATGAAGTGGCTTTTGATGTGCTTTGCAAGCCAGCTCTTTCCAGTGGTGGGCTATGTTTGCAAGCCCATGGTGGTGGTGGTTAATTTGCTTTGGCTCATATTTCTCATAGTCAATACCATTCTTTCACATGCTCCAAAGGTAGATGACAGAGAACATTTTACTCCTGTACAGTTTGTTACTGGTAGTGTAAAAAAATTTTACCCTGCAGCCAAATGGACCTCAGTTACACCTAAATGTGCAAAAATGCCAAAGTCATAAGTTTTAGCTGAAAGCAGAAATAGAAGGGTTCTTATGTAATGCAAAATTACTTCAGACTAAAAATAAATGTATTACCTGGACAAATCAGATATTTAGTCAAGTTCAGCCGTTTTTATTGTGACCTGACTTATTCTCTAACAAACCTAACTGGACATAATCAATTTTCCAAAGTAAAGCTATAAATTACTTCTAAACATATTCCTATGTATATATTTATATGCATTATATGTGTGTGTGTTATAAACTGATGTGTGTCTTTAGTCAGCCTGAAACCCCTCACAAGTTTCCTCCTCCCTTAGGTTGCTTTTCTCAGAGTATTTTTAGATTCCTTCATAGGATTCTTCCTAATTATCTAAAGTATTTTCAGCAAGGCTGAAAGCAAGAGAGGAGCAGAGTGAAGGGGTACTTATGATACCAACTCTCCAGGTGTTCAAAGCTGTCCCCTACACTTTGTTCCCTATACTATGGCTTCTAGTCCTGTAGGATCTCACTCCCCTATAGAAATTAACTGGCTTGAATGGAAAGAGGAGGTCCTGTGTTCCTTTGTTGTGGGTGTTGTGGATGAACTAAAAAAAAAAGTTGTTCTTCTTCTTTAATATATTTTCCTCTTCCCAAGGATTGCTGAAGCTGCTGCCTACAAAGGTTATATGATCTCAGCAACCAGTTATCTCATCTCTATCAAAGTGGAACCTCTACCCAAGCTGTCCCACAATCTGTCAGGATCTCCTCTCATCACCATCCAGCTCACCCACAAATTGGTAAGTGAAATGGAAACTACCAGTTTAGTTCAAAACTTCGGTGCCCGCGGTGACTTCTTTGTATTTCTCTCATAATTTTCGTGGGTGTTTTTTGTAGCAGTTGAGATGGTGTTTGTGGCTACAATATGATGTTTTTCCAACCACTGTGAGTCCTGTTTCCATCACTGCAAAAGGCTGATTAGTGCACGTGTTGAAGGAGAAGGTGAAGTGACAAGTGCAGCTTTAGGCCTTTGTGTTCTGCTCTCAGGGTGTGTTTGTGCAGCCTCCAACAGAGTGGGATAAATTGCTGTTTTCTCATTAGAGTGGCCAAAAACAATTCACTTGTGGTTTTTGCTTTTGTTCTTAATCCACACTGAGATAACTGAGGGGTTTTGAATGAATAATCCCAGAGAAGGAACTCCTCCAAGGGCAGGTAGAAGTATGATGGGTAGAGCATCTCCTGGGTAGGAGTGGAACAGGTTCAAATCCCTGCTTGAGTCTGAACTGCCCTTTCCAGAGAGCAGAGCTTTCTGAATCTGAGAAATAAGAGCCAAAAAATATGAGAATCTGAGCAAACTCGGAGAAAAGTTTGAATAAAACTGCTGAGTTTCAGTAAGGTGTTTCAGTTTCCCCAAATCAGCACATTCCAGCAGGAAACTGGAATAATAGCTGGGTTGGTTTGCTCTTGGAAAAAGAGCTGTCTCTTTGTCTTGTCAGTGGAATGGAGAAGAGTGGAGTTCAAACTGGCAAGAGGAATGCAGCATGTCTGACCCACTTACAGCATTGAATGGAAATGCAAAGGAAAGATTTCAGTTCTTAAATGTTTCCTAGAAAACATCTCTTAGATGTTCTTCTAAGTGCTGTATCATGTTTTTCTTTCAACGACTGTTTTCAAGCCAGTTTACCTTCTTGCTGTTGGCCTTCTGATGAAGATGGAGTAAGCTACAGGAAGGAAATGAAAAATCCCCAAGGGACAGGAGTGAAATGTGTTGTTTTGCTGGCAGTTTTTTGCAAATTGCACTTTGCTTTATTTATCCTGAGATAAATGAGGAACCTCCTCATGCTGTAGTTATGATGATTTACTAGGAGGCTGTTGAACAAACCTGTGGGTTTTTTCTTTTCTCTGTTACAAAGGCTTGGATCATGATATGCAGATAGAAATGTTGCCTATTCAGGTGTGACTTGGGTTTGGTTTGTGGCGTTCTCTTGTGTGTGTGTGTATGTTTTTTTTTGTTGTTGTTGTTTGGTTGGTTGGTTGGTTTTGGTGGGGTTTTTTGTGTGTTATTATTTTTTTTCGTTATTATTTATTTTTTAAAATCCTCACAGAAGTTGGAGAAACATCCTATTCTAACAGCACTGAAAAAGTAGCTCGGCGCTGTTCGAAGTCAGTCATGGAAATACATTTATATTTAAAGTTCTGAGAATTTCAAGGGAGGAAGTATTTCTAGATGTGCAGAGAGCATGATCTTGAATTCTGTCCAATAAGCTGTGCTGGGATAATGACTGTGTTAGATGTTGCTCTTGGGCACAAAGCCCTGAAAGGAGATGAGGAAGGCACAGCAGGTTCACCCCTCTGAAAGAAGGGGAACTCTTCACCTGCTTATTCACTGCCTGCAGCAACAATCTGCTCCTGGGTTTTACATCTTATTAACTGCACAAACCTCTAAGTTTGGCTCAAGAGATGCAAGAGGTACTTTCTCCAATAGTAGGGTTAGAAAAGTCACAGTCTCATTGTTTTTTTCCCCTGAACAATCTGTGGACTTCAATTAGAAGCTGGTCCCATGTTGGACTAAGTAATCATTTCCCCAGTGCTTTTGAAAGCAAAACTAAATGTAAGGGTTGTAAGGGTGGGAGGTATTTTATGTGCTTGTTTCAGAACCTTATTTCAGTGTTCCCTGATGGTGAAGCACTCTGTTGGTCTCCCAGCTGGGTTTCTAAACTCCCTTTGAAAATTCCAAATCGGACGTGAAAAATCCTAAAAATGCTAAAAACCTTCAAGCACCAAAACATTCTGAAATCACCAAACGTGTTCAATCAGAAAATCTGTTTTGACGTCATAAAATATTTTATTTAAATGGTGGTTTGCTGTATTTAATATCTATTGATTTCCCAGTGAAGGAATGTAATTTATCACTGGAATAGCTGTTTAAAAAGAGAGCCTGGCATACAAGTTTGTGAAGAGAATTAATAAAGCTATGAGATCTGGGCAGTGGGAATACATCTAGTTACCTACTCTGCTTTTTTTGTGAATTTGCTAAAAAAAAGGGCATTAACCAGTGAGGAACAGAACCAACTCAAATGCCTCTGGGTATCTTATGTGTGGATTCTAAATTCTCTGAGTAATCTTTAGAAACAAAGTTATAGTGTAGGTAGAAATACATGGAATATTTGTCTGTGGGGAAGAGGCGTAGTAAGGAGTTGGGCAGGATGTGTGCAGCTCTGCTGAAATGGGATATACATGGAATTTGACAGGAAAACTACTTGCTTGCCTCTGACACCTGTGGCTTTGAGAATATAATTTCTCTTCTGGCTTTTAATTAATGGGGAAGTTTAATATTAAGGAATGGAGGAGTAGATATTCCAGTTGTGTGGGACTGTGGCAGCAGTGGGTTAAATCTGTTCTCATTTACGCTGCTGTGTCTCCAGTGAATTCCATGGAATAATTTTGAGCTATATAAATTTAGACAATTTACTTATGAATTTACTTAAGCAAATTACTTAAGCAAATTTACAGAAGTCAATTCAAGGGAATTGACTTAAGCAGATTGGGAAATGACTCCATGTCTCTGGAAGCTTTCATATGATACCAGCACAGATCCTTTCTTTCCCACTACATGTGATTTCACTCTGGAGTGGTTTCATTTGGCTGAGCATGATCCCTCATGAAATAAAAGGAGAATTTAAAATGTAAAAGAAATTCTGGCTGCAAAATCACTGTTAGGTGTGTGCTTTAAAGAGTAGCAGTCAAGCTATTTATCTAAGTTTATGATTGAATACCATGATTAAACTGAGAGCATAAAATCTGGCTTACAAACCTGTTTTATCCATTAAAATACTGCAGTAAGGGGAGAAACATTTGAATGTTTGTTTGTTGCACATAATGTTCTCAGTTTAACAGAGGAAAGCGCAATAAGAAAAAAATAAGAAATGCCAAATCCAAACAAACAGTTTTTCTTTATTAATTTTTGAGTCTGACTTTTTAATTCTTTTTCTTCTAATGTGTATAGGAAAAACGCCAATCATTTGACAACAGGGAAAAAAAATGGGAGTAAAATAAACCATGTCTATTTTAGGAAATAGTTACAAAGAAAATGTCTGTGAACTGAATATCACCTCTTGAAGCAAAACTTCACAGAGCATTTGTCATCCCGCAGCTCAACTCATGGTTAGTTAAATCTCCTCTTAAACAGGGATTCTCTGGGTTTCTCTGAAATTGTCTGCATTTCTTACATAGCTCTTGGGAGCTCTTGAGGTGATTAAGTTTTTTATTTTGAAACATGAGGCGATGCAAAGTGAGGCTCATGTCTGATCAATTAGGTAAGAATACAGGGAATATTTATAAATGACACATTAATGCTTCCTTTTCTAGAGAGCACCATGGGGCAGAGGGCACTGAGGGGGACAGGCTGGAGGCTAAACTGGAGCACAGGAGCTGAAAAGTCACCTCATAGTTAACACACAGGCTGTTAATTTACGTGTTCAAGGACCAGGGAGACCAAACTGCAGACTCACCTCCATCAGAAAAGGACATCAGTAATTACAGCCATTAGGCCTCCATGTTCAGGCTCAGAGCTCCATTCTCATGGGACCAGTATTGCTGGTTGACTTTCCCTCTACCAGCAGAGCAGGCAGAAAATTTTCTGGTCGAGCTTCCATTAGTGGAAAATGGTTTTCTGACTTAAAATGGAATTTTTCACGATTCAGGATGAATAAACCATCACCATTTTTTTTTTCACGAGATTAAAATATCACTTGTTTAAATCCTTCTTATGAAGAAAAGACTCCCTGTGGATAGGATAGATCTGTATGTTTTATTACTTATAGTGTTTTAATCACCACTTTTCTGACAACAGTTTATTTTGTTGCAAAGTCCCCAAAACCACTTTTTCTGTTACTCTTTCTTTTATCTTATGGAACTATTATTAACAGCTTGAGAAAGATTGTTTTGCAAGAAGTGTTCATCATCAAGGATTTAGAATTAACTTCTTTGCACGAGAATATAAAGTGATTAAGTGTTTTATTCTTTCTGCCAGCCTGAGGAAAACTTATCCACTCTCCCTACCCTCAGTGTCTGCTTTTATGGCACAGTGACATAGCTGGGGGTGAAAAGCAGTTCTCACCTCCCTTCTCTGTGGATATAAGACAGCTTTTCCTGTGATATTTGGGCATCATCAAGGGCCTTTTTGCTTGGGACTTCTTACATATTGAAGAATTACATTAATGGGTTTTTTAATGACTGTCCCTTCCTTTCCACTGCTCAGGGGGGCAAGAGGAAGACGAGAGAGAACCAGCAGTGCTTTGTGACACTGTGTAGGCTCAGATCTGTTGTCACCATGCTAAGCTGTTTTATTAAAAGTAGGATTCTAAATCTCATTGAATATTTCACACTGTTGATTCAATATTTGGCCTTGCAGGTCAGCACACACCTGTGCAGAGAGTGGGAAGGGCTTGCTGTCTGTATTCATATTGTTTTCTTTCCAGAGCTTATGTGAAAAACTATCAAAGGCTGTAATTTAATAAAATCAAGTTCATTGACCATATTGGCTGTAATTGCAGGACATTCAGTGTGAAGACTGAATATATACATTTCTCTTTATCAGCAAAACTTTGTCTGAATTAAGTCCTCTAAGAGACAGAAGTTGTTATGCTAAGTTACAACAGTCAGTTGTTATTCAGGAACATTTCAGTGACACACAGACATGTTTTTAACTGATTTAAAAAGTGATGATGCTCTGCTCTTCAGCAGCTTGGATGAACTACTGTCTCCAGCAAAAATAAATAACAGAAAATCAACTCACACC